AAAACAGAAAATATATCTCGCCGGCGTGACGCCTCGAGAAGACGCATTTTACATTGACAGTTCGACCCACCTATCCGACGAGATTCACCGCGTGCTCCCCACAGCAAGGTGCGGCACAGGGACGTTGACTTGCGCGTGAGTTCGATTATAGTTTAGAGTAGAATTGCGCCGCATCTACGGCACTAGCTTTCCCACCTTGGCTAAGTGTCTTGAACAAGTCAAGAAGACCGGAGAGGGTGCAGGTGGTCGGTGTGGATGGAGCCGCCCCCGGGCGTGCCACCAGACCTGTAACTCAGAAGAAAAAGAGGATGCGATCACTGGAACAAGAGCTTTATTTTTCAGACGTTTCGGATTCCGTCGGGAATCCTTGATCATAGGTAATGGTAGGATAGCATGAGTCATACGTAAGCTCTTTGGGCGCGATGAGCTCCGATCGGCTCAACAGTGGGAAACATTTTCCCCGTCGAGAGTCGTCTATTTATGCGTAGATTCGATACATGCACAAGTGTCTCGACAATAATAACCCCTATCTGCGCATGACTATGCTACCTTTACCTATGATTAAGGATTCCTGACGGAATCCAAAACGTCGGGAAAATCAAGCTCTTGTTCCAGTAGTTGCGTCTTCTGAACTGCCTCCTGGGACTCGCATATTTACGTCTATTGGCAAGAACTGTAGCTTTTTACATACAGGATTAAACGCACCCCTCTGCGTTGATTTCCTAGTGTGTGGACAACCAGGGGGTTACAAATGGGCAATCAGTTACCTACCAGGTCAAACTTTGCCTACTGTAGATGTCAGTGGATGGATATGGCGGTGTCCTATTGGCTTATTTTGTTTTCCTTCAGGTGATCATAACCCTGACTACCACACGTGGTCCGTAGAAAATGTATATCGGCCCTGCCAATCTGTCCGCATCTTGTTTATACCAGCTCCGCACGTTTTTTTCGGGGGTTTTTAGGAAGCACCAGAGAATTAGCATCATAGTCATTCCTAGGTAAACCACTGTCTCAATCTGTTGCGGCACAATGGTGTATGCCTGGCAAATGCGTCCTTTTTACTTCAGCATCAACGAATTGCGACTGAATAGGCGAGCCCTTATGAGGTTCGAGAAAGACAACTCTTCCAAAATATATTAGAAGCTTCGTTCGGTCGCACCTAGAACTCGCGGTAAGAGTACCTCGTGGGGCCGTCTGGGGAGCGCGTGAAGCGCGCCCCTCGGTCTTACGGGCTCCTGATTTTAGCGGAGAGGACGGGTGGGGCATGTCAGGGAACAAATCAGATCGCAATAATCATATAAAATAAAAAAAAGTTACGGGGATAAGTTGGGACGCGTACTCAAACCTCGACGCCTGCCTGTTCGCTGTTGACTGACCGCGAGTTTTGTTCGCTGGTGAGCTCGTGCGACCTCTGCTCATTTTTCGGCTGTCGCAAGTCAGCGTACTGGCTGACGAAGTAATCA